GTGTGACCTTGTACTTGAAGGGCTTCCACCATTTTGGAGCAAGGCCAATCTCTTCTCCTTTCTGGTCTTGTCTGTCTATTTCAAGAAGGTAGACTGCCTGAATGAAGCATGCCATTACCATCCTTTTGTAATTTGGATCCTTCCTGCAAATCAGGCATTAGAAGAAAATGTTACATATACATCATGTGGGAATGTCAAAGTAAAGTGGGCGTTTCAGAGTCCAGAACCTCATTTGTTGAAGTAATTGTTAATTAAAATTACGAGACAAGGAACATACATCCTGTTTGAAATGGGCAATCGACATTCGTATCAGGCTTCAGGCGTTTCAGAGTCCAGAACCTCATTTGCCGAAGTAATACTCCATCCGTCCCAAAATAACACTTATTTAAGGACGGAGGGAGTAGTTAGTTAAAATTACGAGAAAAGGAACATAAATCCTGATTGAAATGGGCACTTCAACAATCGTAGCAGGCATTCAGGCCTCTCATAAAATATATACTCCCTTTGTCCCATAATATAAGACGTTTTTTGACACTACATGGTTACAAGTTACAGTTTTACAATGATGATGATTCTCCTATTCCCTACAGACTTCAGATTTGTTCATTTCCAATATAATTTGCCCCCAAATGCCCTGTAAGCTGGTGTCCCCTCCATGCCAACATAGTCTTAGCAGGAATATGCAATGTGGATTTCCGTTGCTCATCATTTTACATGATTATGAAACCCTTCCCGTCCCCTGATTTTAAAGTTTATAATCCAGAAAGTTCATTTTTCTATGGCCATTCCCTCCATTTTTCTGTAAACATCACTAGCGACAATATTACCAACAGGGATCACATGATGCAATTTTTTCCCATTTTGCCGGGCTGTTTTACCTTGCAGTCTTACATACTGTAAGATCATACGATTCAGAGTTAACTAGATAACTTAACTCTCCCTTTAGGCAACAAAGCAAACTTAACTTCAAGCAGAGGTTAAAAACTTCCTAAATTGCCATGAAAACAAGAGCTACACAGCTACACAAACAAAGCGGGTTAACATAAAATCAAAGTTTAAAACTAGGAAGGAATACGTACTAGTTTATAGTCTGCGCAAGGGAGGATGCGTAGGTTAAAGGAAACTTAACTGGTTGAATTGGTGCTTTCTTATTTGTACTCAAAAGACAAAACACAGTTCCTAAGGAAAGGTAGGAGGAGCATGTGCACGTCCGTGGCCCAGGAAACAGAAAACGAGATGGAGGGCAATCTTTTGTTTCCACTCCTGTCATAACCTAAACTTGCAGGAAAAGTACAGCAAACCTATTTTGCACATCACACCACGGGATACTACAAATAATATAAGCAAACTAAGAGAGAGTAAATTTTGCTCTCACAATTTAATCAATCAACAAACTCCCCGCAATTTCAGTTGGCAAGACGAGTTGGACGGCACTTCCTAAACTACGTAATTTCGTTTCCATCTCAACAACAGACCAAGGGCTCGGCAGAACCCCGCGGGTTCATCGAATCGACAGCGCGTGCCAACCTCATCATATACCGGAGTGACCCGACACGCCCCGTTCCAATCCTGTATCATAAGGCACAAGGAAACTGCAAGATATATGGCATTACAGGGCGAGGGCGAAAAAATTACCAACTCGATCTGATGATTTCCCTCCAGTTGGGCGGCGGCAGGTTGCGCGGGCCGGAGACGTGGAAGGCGTAGGGGTGCCCCTCGACCTCCGCGTCGGCCGGGGCCACCACCACGGCGTCGCCGCCGCACCGTCCCCCGACCTCCCCCACCACCATCACCACATCCTCGTCCTCCTCCTCCTCCCCCTTAACCGCCTCCGGATTCACCTCCCCTGCCGCCGCCGCGGCCGGCCCAGGCGACACCAAGTCCATCGCCATGGCGGCGCAGATCAAACCTCCCGGCCGCCCCGCTCGCCGCGCGGGGGCGAGGGCAAGCGTGGGGCGCGTGAGCACGGGGGAGGACGAGAATGTCGTCGAGGGGTAGGGGCGGGGATTCGTGGGGACCGGGAGATGTGAGAGCGTCGTCTTCCTGGCGGCGTGGGAGAAGAGGTATATCTGGGATCTCGGCGGGGGGCAGCGCCCAACGGTCATGTTTGGAAGGGGAGCAGCAACTGGGGGGTTTAATGATGGGGGCGTGGCTTGGCCAAGTGGGGAAACGAGTATGCCTTCCTTGCTGGCCTTCTTCCTCCTTGGCCCTTGGGAAGGAGGGTTCCGGGTCAGATTTTAGAATTTTCATTTAACGCGTTCCAGGTGAGATTTGCAGATTCGCGGCCGGAGGAGAAAAATCCCTCGCCCTTTCCATCCGTTCCCCTGATCTCCGGAGGCTAGGTCTGCAATAAAAACTCGAGCCTTGTGAGTCTCTCAAGATTGATTCATATTTTGGCTCGAGTCAGATCGATCTGCAAAGAAATAAGCCAAGTATGAGCGTTTTATTAACTTGAGGGAGAAACGAGTTGATCTTAAGCCTACGCTATCTTGGTCGATTTTAGCTTGGTACGTACTCCCTCCGTCCGGAAATACTTGTCTCAGAAATGGATGTATCTAGACGTATTTTAGTTCTAGATACATCTATTTCTATTCATTTTCGTGACAAGTAATTCCGGACGGAAGGAGTACCATATAATTTTATTAAATAATCTTGATTTATATTATTAAAGAAAAATAAGATAATTTATTGTCATTGTACAATTTTTCTCTATTTTAACTACTAGCAAAATCAAAGCTTAATTACGCTCGGGATAATTAAGCCTTATATGGTACATGGTGGACCTTATGTCAAATATCTTGTTATTCTTGGCCAAAGCTTGAGAACGAATACACTTTCATGTTCCTTTCTTTCTAGGTCATATAGGATCTCTTGATAGTATCAAGTACTCCCTCCGTTCACAAATATAAAATGTTCTAACTTTTCTGTGGTCATGTGTATATAAACACGCTTTAGTGTGTGCTTTTATTCATTCAAGTCTATATGTAGTTCATGTTGAAACATCTAAAACATCTTAAATTTATGAACGGAGAGAGTATTAGTCTCCAGTTAAGAAAGAATAAATCAAATTTTATAGTGGGTTTTTTATGCTGTGTGTGGCCCATCTTGTTTAAAATTGCCTTAGCTTAAGAAAAATTATATTATTTAGCTTGAATCTATCTCAAGATTGATACAAGCTAAGCACAAGCCACTTTCTACAGCTCGGCCTTGAGTTTCATTCAGGTTGAGCTCGCTCGAATTTTAGTTTAAGTTGAGTAGAGTCAAGTGCAACTCACTCGAACTCGACTCATTTACAGCCCTACCGCAAACCGGTCGACCTGACACCACGAGACTGGGGAACCGCAAAACTTTCTTCACAATGCAGTCTAAGGGTATCTCCAACACCATCCATGACATGTAAAGCGTCCGCGGTCAACCGAAACATGTTTGGGGAGAGGCTAGCGGACCGGCCATCCAACCCGGTCTTCAAATAAAAGTGGACATGTCTGATACGTCTTCAACATATCTACTTTTCCAAACACTTTTGCTCTTATTTTGGACTCTAATTTGCATGGTTTGAATAGAATTAACGCTGTTTTCAACAGAATCATATTGGTGTTGTTTTTTATGCAGAAATAAAAATTATCGCAATTGGACGAAACTTGGCGAAGAATTTACATGGAATATATAAAAAAAATACGGGTGCAAAGATCCATCGGAGGGGGGCCACCACCTGCCCACAAGGCAGGGGCGCGCCCTGTTGCCTTTGTGGGGCCCTTGTGGCTCCATTTGCCCTACCTCCAAGTGCATAAGTACCGTCTTTCCGAGAGAAAAACCCATAGAGAAAGCTTTATTGCGTTTTACGATACGGAGCCGCTACCACCTCCTGTTCTTCATTGGTAGGCCTGATCTGAAGTCTATTCCGGGCTTCGGAGGGGGCAAATCATCGTCGTCATCATCAATAACCCCTCTTCATCGACAACCTCATGATCCTCACTCTGAAATAGTCTATTAATAAGACCCGATCAACCTTATTAACGGATTCCTTTCGAGGTCGTTGAATTCTGTAAACACAACCTTCTCTAACTTTAGTTCACTCCCTATTATTTTTAGTTTAATGAAATAGAATACCATGTTTATCCTACTTTCTGAATTATCTATTCAAAAAAAGACCTAAAAATAAAAGTGCTCAGAATGTCGTAAAATTTTAACATGAATTTTTATAGAATAAAATAAAAAATATTGGCACTGAACACACCCGGGGGGGGTGCCATTGTTGTCCACAAGGTAGCAGGGCGCGTCTAGGTGCATTGTGGGGCCCACATGACCCCACTCACTTATCTCCCATGCCCATCTTCTTCCTCCACCTCTAGAAAAATTCATGTCCAGTTCTTAGTTCACGGTCTTGCTCCTAGATACGAATTTTTGATCTCTTTGCTCGGAGCTCCATTTCTGAAACTTTTCAAAGAAATTACTTTTCGGTATATGAATCATCCATTGGTCCAATTAGTTTTTGTTCTAGTGGTTTGTACATAGCTTGCAAAAACGTCGTATGTTATGGACAGAGGGAGTACTACTTATTTCAACCAAATGAACTAAATTTTTAAATGGAGGGTACCTTTAGGTTCTATATTGCCTCCCAACATTCAATCATAATTTTATTTTATTGAGGATGAATAGCCTTCAATCATAATTTTATTTTATTGAGGGGTAGCCTTCAGTCCTTTTTTTTTGAGAAACCTGTAGCCTTCAATCATGATGGAACTTGGAAGGAGATGGTGGGGCGAGTCGAGCCCAGCCCAACGTTTTTTTTTAGAACAGCCCAACCCAACTTGACTGAAGTCATGGGCTCAAATACGCCGTACCTTGCATCGAACCGACGGAATCGAAGAGAAACTTGCGAGGCACACGATCGAGCCCGAGGCCTGAGCTCTCCAAAAGCCAGCCACCGTCCCAACCCGAGCCCGGATCCATCCACAACTCTCCTCCCCTCCCTCCCCTCCGATCCAACCCGCACCGAGATGGCCCGCCCGCCCGCCGCCGCGAACCTCAAGCGCAAGCGGAAGCGCCGCCGCCGCCCCAAGGCTGGCAAGGGCGCGGCCACCGACTTGCCCGACTTCTTCTCCAACCTCCCCGACGACGTCGTGCTCGCCATCGCCAACCGCCTCCCGACCCGCCTCGCCGTCACGCTCTCCGTCCTCGCCCGCCGCTTCCGCCACCTCCCCACCCTCTACACCCGCCTCGACTCCCTCAGGTTCTCCGGGCCGGCCTCCCCGGTCCCGCTGCCCGCCGGCCAGCCCAAGCTCCTCCGCCGCCTCGACATCGCCCCGCCCAAACGAATCAAGCCCTCAGCCCTCCGCCACGTCATCAACGCCGCCGCCAACCACGGCCTCTCCGAGCTCGCCGTCCGCCTGCACCGCCGCGTCTGCCTGCCCAAGAAGGTCTTCGCCATCCGCTCTCTCGCCGTGCTATCCCTCAACACCTGCAGCGTGCCGCCCCTCCCCGCCGTCGCCTGCGCCCGCCTCCGGACGCTCAAGCTCCACCGCGTCTACATCAAACAGGTGGTCCTCACCGCCATCCTCTCCGCGGCGACCGGGCTCCACACGCTGGAGATGGTACACTGCACGGGCTTGGACGCCGGATGCACGGTGGAGTCGTTGACCGTGAGGAGCTTCTTGTTCATGCCCAACGTGAAGCAGCGGCAGGTCACGCTGAGAGCGCCGGGGCTGAGGACAATCACGCTTCACACGCGACCCAAGACGCAGAAGGTGCACCTGGAGCCTTCGCCGGATGTCAGCAAGGCATACCTGCACGTCGCCAAGTCCCAGGAAAAGGTTCTCTTCAGGATGCGGCCGTTCTTGGATGCTGCCACAGGGCTAGCTTCCCTCACGCTCAGAGGCATTGCTGTGAAGGTGAGCTCTCTCGCATCCATCGATCTCTATCAGCTGTTACTGCAGTGTTAATTTGTCTAGATCTGGAGTAGGTTGCTGTCCAATTGTTCACAATACTGGTTATGATACGTGGAAGAATATGCATAGTAGATGAACGGAAGCATCAACCAGGCTACGTGTTCCTTGGTAACATTACAGTGTGTTTGCCTTGTGACAAGTCAATGATTCATGTAGTTCAAGCTGCAAAACTAAGTGATCAATTAGTATAACCTTAGGAAGGACCTCCCTGGATTTGATCCATGAAAACTTGATTTTAGGAAGGACAGTGTAGTTCGACCGTAACTTAGTAGGATCATCATATCTGATAATTTTGTAGTTACAATGAAGTTACTTATAATACTTTGTATGGTGAATTGGTTCTTATGTGTGTGGCAATGCATGGTGCTGATAAAGATCTGTCACTGATTCTTATAAATATGAGAAAGACAACTCAAGTACTTGTGTTATGTACTCCCTCCCTTTCTAAATATAAGTCTTTTTAGAGATTTCAATATGGACTACATACGGATGTATATAGATATATTTAGAGTGTAGATTCACTCATTTTGCTTCGTATATAGTCTGTAATGGATTCTCTAAAAAGTCTTATATTTAGGAACGGAGTGAGTAGCAATTTGTAGATTCCAGGAAAACAAGGAGTTGCTTGAGTCGGAACATAACGAGTGGTTGAAGTCACGCACTACTTAACACTTCTATTTCGACGTGGGTTTGGGTCTAACCTAAACAATTAAACATGCATAGCTTAATTTTATCTCATCTGCAGATTGAGTTCTTACCTCATTTCTATATTCGTATTTTATTCCTTTGCAGTTGTTAGCTGGTGAATATAAAGATATTGCAAAGTTGCCAATTACATTTGAAGGGTTGAGGATATTGTCAGTGAGCTTAGATTTCTCGCGTGAATCAGAAGCTGTTTTCCTGGTGAAGCTGCTTCAGAGCTGTCCTAGCCTACAGCAGTTGACCGTCTCGGTATGCATCTTATCATCTACGGGTTTCAGTTCATTGAGAGATGTATTATTATTATTATTATTATTATTATTATTATTAACACACCCTACTTCATGCTAGGCTGCTGAAAATAAGAAGACAGAGGCGTCCTTTAGTTTTGCTGATCACAAGAAGATGCTTGCAAAGGCATCATGCCTAACTAATAGCCTGTTGAAGATCAAGTTTCTTGGGTTCAAGTCTGGAGAATATGAGAAGGACCTCCTCGTTTTCCTATTAAATCGAACCAATAAGCTGAAGAAGATTGGGGTGCAGTTTCCAGAAAGCGAAGAAGCCGCTGTGAAGTGGGCTTTAACTGTGAGGCCAGCCCCAATCGAGAGAAGATCTACTCTGTTCAACAAGGGCTACCTGCAGTTGGAGTATACTCGATAGCTTACACGATAGGCAGACACCACATGTTTTCAGTTTCGCTGCACATACTTGCTTTTGGTAGAACTTTTGTCCTTGACTTGTGGACATGGCACGGGCGTGATGGTTGCAATCTCGAGTGGTTGGGTTCAACCCAGATTATTCTTTACATAGCTAGGTGAAGTTAGAACAGAGTTTGAGAGAGATATATGAAAAGAGCAGAGAATATCTGGGTTGTGTAATAGGTTGCACAGGAACAGGAGATGAGTTTTACTTGTGTGTCGTAATGAAACCTCAGTTGCTTTATTGCTTCCTTTATACTCCCTCCGTTTGGAATTACTTGTCTAGGAAATGGATGTATCTAGAACTAAAATACTCTAGATACATCCATTTCAACGACAAGTAATTCCGAACGGAGGGAGTAGTACAGTAGTTCTCAACAGTTGGCATAATGTTACACACAGGTACTCCCTCCTTTCGGAATTACTTGTCGCGAAAATGGATGCATCTAGACGTATTTTAGTTCTAGATACATTCATTTCCGAGACAAGTAATTCCGAACGGAGGGAGTAGTACATTTGCACTAAACATGCATGTCATACAGCAACACAAGTACAAAGGGCTGCTGCTCCAGAGCCTGGGCTGTGTGGTGATTACTGTGAAGATTTCGCATAGACCGTGTGCTCGTATTTGCCGCTCCACCTGTACGTTGGTGACATTGGAAGAGTATAAACTGTCTATGCTAGGTGTCTGAAATTCAAACAGCGAAAAAGTTTTGGTGGACTCAGTCACCTGTTGGAATCATCAGATGGGACTTGGAGCTCATGTCCTGAGCTGAATGGTTTGAAAACACGGTCAATGTCTTCATTCTTCACCTCTTCAATGGTTGCAGGACTCCACTGTTGAGATTGTATGTAAACCTATTTAGGCCCCAGTTGAAGAACAGATGCGAGAAAAATATGTATTGAGAGAGGGGAGGGAGAGAGAGACCTTAGGTGCATTGTCTTTGTCGATGCTCAGAGCTCTAATACCCTATCATCATGAAACAAAATTGAATATTGGCTAAGATTCAACCAAAAGACTCGTTTCATTCATTCATTGTACTGTTGCAATACCTCATAGACATCACCAGTAATCACAGATCGGAGGATGTTCATTGTTAGTCCGAATTCCTTATTCAAACACTCCTGCAGACTCTGCTTCCGACCTTCTCTGACCTGAAAAGTAGAAAATAAATCGTCAAAAACAGTAGACTTACTGGCTTACCTTATGCAAGCAAAAGAACCCCCAGCCTACACTGCACTCCATAAATAGATTCCAAAGTGTGTTTTGCACTAATAAAGCCGTATCTAACCAGAAGAATGACTAGTGTGGCTATTAATGGCAAGTGTAAGCACATATTTAAACAAGAACCAAATATGAAGCCTACACAACAACAAAATTGTCGACGGATAGTGAATGGCGCGAGAGTTCCTACCGATCGCAGTGTGATCTTCAATCCAGTAGGAGATGATCTTCTCATACTCTTCAGGACTGGAGCTATCCATTGATTTCCATCGACGCTCACTTCTGAATCCTACATCCACAAGCAAAACAGTAATTTATCATACTATAAAGACAGGAAAATCGTTCATCTCATTATACAGCACGGCATTATATTATTTCTGCCTTCCTCCTATGTAAATGAACAATACAACCAGCATGGTAAACCAATTACAACATTCTCCTAAGCTGAATGGCCGAGGGCGATATAATTTTAGGTGCCAGGTGAATAAATCAAATTATCAAATTTTGTAAAATTTTCATTATCACATGAAGATGTGAAACAACTGAGTGTAGAACGAGCAAAAGCTGACTGGTAGTTACTGAACAACAGATCAAGAAAATTGACAGATAAAATTAATGAGAGAGAAGCAACAGTGTGAAGATTTTCCATCATAAGTGCTGAAGCCTTACAAGTGCTTTCAAGATCTCCTCAACAGTCTCGGCTGAGAAACATTTGTCGATAGTTGAAAGCCTATCAAAAATCGACATTCCACTGTCAGCTTGTATCCATAAATAAATAGAATAATTACTAGCACATTACTCAAAGAAACCGCTTTTATTTCTTCAAATGAGTAAACACGGAATCCTTTCAACAACGGAATTATGATATTTATCAAGAAATAATCCTTAACTTGTTTAAAATACTCTCTTGATCAAGTTGAACATCCGTAGAGAATTCCTCAAGGACAGCTCGGACTGCAGACTCGTCGCCTGTGTTTAAATTCAGTAATTGTTTTTCGAGATCTTCCAATTTCTGCCATACATATTCTAAACTAGTCAAACTACAAGCAAACCAATATCAGAAAGTATTTTGTTAGTCAAGCTACAGGTTGACAAAATACTGCAAACAAAACAATACATCAAGAAACGTAAACTGCTGGAAGACTTACTTCAGAATGGACAAAATGAGTAGCAAGACCAGCAGCGATCATTTCTTTTGCATTCAGTCTAGCACCAGTCAAAGCCAGATACTCCCCTAAAAGTTAAGAAAGAGTGAAAATAAGGAGATTGAAACTGAAATTCCTATTCATAGTTAATTGGCCATGACCAATTTTCTCATGCCTAACTCATTCATAGTGTTTGTCCCCAAAGGACAATATCCCTCTGAGTAAACCATTCAAATGATTCTCTGGGGATGTGAGAATGGGAAATTAAACTCAATGCTTACCTAAATATCCAGGGAGCCGAGAATGGATATAAGAAAAGCTACAATCTGTGTGTAGTCCAACACTTGCCTCGGGGGTGGCAAAAACCTACACAAACAGAAATGATCCTTATGAGAAACTCCAAACAGATATATAACTACACTGGAGTATATAGTACTCCCTCCGTTCCAACTTATAAGATGTTCTAACTTTTTGCTGAATTGGATGTATATACAGACGTGCTTTAATGTATTTTGGATGTCTATATTGAAATATCCAAAACATCTTATAATTCAGAATGGAGGTAATATTCAAGTTTGATTGGATCTCGTTTAAAAAATTATGCAAGTATTCTAAAAAAATGCAGTTATTATTTATTTACACGAACAAAATACCAATAGAAAGGCATCGAAGCTTACTTTGATGTATGATCACTACTAGTAGATTATTCAGGTGATACATGTACACAAAAATTTGAGAAATCTACAAACGAATGTATCACTAAACAGGTCATAAGTGTGGCATAAATTGATTCGTACTGTTTTCTCTGTGACAACTGCAAATTTCAGTGGAGCAACCATGGCTGCACCTCCACCCATAACAAGTCCATTAACAAGAGCCACCTGTATGAATGCGCAAGCGTATATTTTCAGAATATAACACCTCCTGTAAAATAGGGAATTTTCCTCGAATATGTCACAAGGGCATCACCATGGTTTTCTTATATGTATGAATGTGATAGCAGAGCCAGTACATCCTGTACACAACCTCGAGGCAGGAATCATCTGCAAAGCAGTCATATCAATGTCTCCAAACAGCCTTGCTTTGTTACATGAAAATAGAAATCATTGATGATACAAATCAGACAATATGGCACGGCGACTCTGAGAATCCCACCCGATGATCTCCCTTCGTAGAACATCTTTAGGTCCCCACCAGCAGAAAATGCGCGTCCAGCTCCCTGTTGATCATCAAACCTCACACTCATGCACTTGTGAAAATTGCTGAATATTACAACAGTTACACAAAAAACCAATCTTCTGTCGCAGGACGCCGAATTTCAAAACATATTATTGCTAAGCATTTAAACTTGCTGAACATGACATTCGGCATTTCCTTTGGATCATTTTTTGTTGCAACGATTTCCTGAAACTTCTCCAACTATGGAAAAACATGATACTCTTAAACACCAGCCCTTTTTTTAAGATTTGACTCTTAAGCACCAGCCCTGATTACCATCCTAAAGCAGTATAGCAGCTTAAAAAATATGCTGCGGCATGTGCCAATGAATACACACCTTGAAGATGACCAGCTTGGCATCGTCATCTTTCTCCCATTTCTCCAAGAGCTGAGCTAGGATATAGACCTGCAAGCAAAGAAACCGAACACAAACAGGCAGTCCCAATTCATAATTAGCATTCCACAGGACCTCCACTGCAGAAACCACCTCTAATCGAACATCTCCCCAGCCAAGAGCAAGAGGGCGCACCACTCTGTCGTTGATGCCGTTCAGCTGGCGCGGGCGGTTGAGGGTGACCACCCTCGCGCCGTTGATCTCCTGCCCGAGAACGACCTGCACGGAGAGTCGGATTGCCGCGTTCGGTGAGCCGGTGATGCCGCGAGGAGACGAAGAAGAGAAGCAAAGAATCAATCGTGCTGGATCGTTACCTCGTCGGGATTGGGTTGTTCTTGAGCCATGGCGAATCGGGAGCTGGAGGTTTCTTTGACGCGTACCAGCTCGCGAGGTGAGGCGGGTGCTCAATTGAGGTTGGTGAAGGAACCATTGGTGTGGGAAGGGAAGAAGAAGGGTAGGGGAGTGGGTTGGTAAGCCGGGAGTGAGGTTGGGGTAGGTGCCACCTGCGACGTGTCGGAGTGGGGACCGGGGCTTGACTACTGTTAAGCTGGGTAGTTGAACTGAGGATGAAAGTATTTTCTCGGGCACAACTAGGAATCAGAGTCCTGATGGCTTTGCTTCCTATCAGACCGGTCGATAGCCGTATGATTAGATGTATTCCAGTCCTTCGATCTTCCTTTATGAGTTAAATGCGATAATCACTAACGTGAATTCTGCTGTTTCCTAATAGCTGTTCCCATAATATGCGGTTTGTTTTCTAAATCTGCTTCCTAATCTTTATCCCCACAATCTTTGATTTGTTTCCTAAAACAACTTCCTTGAGTGGCTACAAATCTCAATATTTGTGGATATAATTTCAGAAAAATATTAATTACGAAATATATAAGATGTGTTTCCTTAGTGATAGTAACATGGTTTGTATACCAAAGAAGCATTCTTCCGTACTGACGGAAGCATCATTTTGGTGAATTAGACTTGCT